TTCTTTGTGTGTGAACCTCTGTCCTGCGTGACAGTGAGAAGTGATACCACCCTCAGTGTCAAGACCTGACTGAATTACTCGGAATAGGCAAACTGTACTACAAGCTCTGCCAATAAATTTGTGAAACTAAACTCTTATGTTAACACATTAACGGAGTCTGTGAGGAAAGCGAGATGCTGCGGGTATGTACAGGAGTATGTATGTACGTGTGTGTGTGTATGTACGTGTGTGTGTGTGTGTGTGTGTGTGTGTGTGTGTGTGTGTGTGTGTGTGTGTGTGTGTGTGTGTGTGTGTGTGTGTGTGTGTGTGTGTGTAGATTTGCATGATTGTATTAATGTATGTATGTATATGTGAGTATTTATATCCAAAGGTCAATGATAATCATGAAAGAAAACACGAAGTCTCGCTTGTGTTTTCTTTCCTTGTATACAGCATACCTGGGATCACGCACCTCACATATATATATATATATATATATATATATATATATATATATATATATATATATATATATATGTAATATTCAGAAATTTCAGAGTAATTTCAAATGCCCTGCCATTGGCGATACTGAGCTTTCAAGGTCGTCTGAGGAAGAGAGCGCCCCGCACATAGTGGGAGGTTGTGGAACTAGGCCTATATGATAATAAATGTAATTTGCCGAATTAATAATGATGCGATTCATGAAGTTAAGGGACTATTATTGAATTTGAAATTATTATAGATCGTTTATCAGTCTGAATAATGTTACGGGTGTCCCAAGAGTTATTAGTTAGGCGGAAAATATGTCACGTAGGCCAAGCTAACGCCTTGAGAGGACACGAGGCGAGCTCTCTCAGTGACGGGGAAGCATTCAGACAAACAAGACGTCCCTGCGCGTCCGTCACAGAAATAGTCACGGCCTAGTCACCTGTGTTGCACTGTTGCAGTATAACAAGTAAGTCTCATTCGATCTCAGACAGGGTTAGATAGGCAGTGGTAAAGTTAACAAGAGCTAACAGTGAGTTCATTTCAGGGTTTCGTCAGAACCCACTTGACTGCGTCAGAACCCACTTGACTGCGAGAAATTGATCAGTAGAAATTGACTGCGAGTGATGACCGCGAGAGATTGACTGCCGTTTGAGACCGTTGATGATTGAGGTGGCGATTGTCGCCATTGGACCGACAGTGTAGGCCTGTCACTGTTTACGGGGTCTCAAAGGATCTCTTGAGGGAATCTAGCCGTCTGGGTGCCCAGCTGACGACGGACGATCGTTGGGGTCATCAGCTTCCTCTACCTCGGCTCACAACACCACATGTCTCGAGCAGCTTAGTGAAACCCTCTGCTAACGGGAAGCTAAGCTTCCTCAACTGTACAAGGTCTGATTTGTCACCCTTCTGTCTCTGGATGTACTGGGGTAAAGTGAGGCCAGCTGAGGATACAGGGTCGCACACTGAGACCATGAGTCTCTGGGATACCTAGAGGAACATTTTATCTCCCTTATTACAGGGGTATGTTGAGTTGTAGAGCATGTTCACGAGTATTGTGACCCAGTAACATATCAATAATGGTATATTTGTGTGTAGTTAATACCATTTCTCAGTTACTGATGTTATCTTGACGTGTGTGGTTTAATATTTCTTAAATAATTTTGATAGTATTGTTTTTTGAATGTTTGTGTCACTATGGAACCAGAGTGATACTGTGATTAATTCTTTTAATGCATTTAATTTTCTTTATAATTCCGATCTCAGGTGTAACCTTTGTTCCCCAGAGTAGTGTTAGTTAGGTTAGGAATTGTGCATCTCTTTGGGGTGATATAATTTTGTTGAAACCCGTTAGGCCTGTTTCATGTGTGCAAGCAACATTTCTTAATACTTTAAATTTATTGTTGCCTGAGTTTCTAATAATTTCAATATCATGTATAACTTTTATTCCCCAGAGTAGTGTTTTAAGTTCAAGTTAAGAGGTGTGCATATTGGTGTACCATTATTTGATTGTGTTTGTAGTATTGAGGGAATATAAGTGTCTAAATTTTACAGTGTGTCTCATTCATCCCAGTCACAGACGCTATCCTTCCACGGTCACGGACAATCCATTTTGTTTAGTAGAAAGTGTTCTTGTGCTGGTTCGGATTTTCTCTCAAGGGGGCTTCCACTGCCATTACCATCTAACAATCTTTAATAAAACCCCAAGTCAAGTGAGAAATTAAAGTCCAGTAAATTTGACCGGTTTATATATATATATATATATATATATATATATATATATATATATATATATATATATATATATATATATATATATATATATAGCAAAGAAGTATGTCTGTGTGTGTGTTTGTTTGTGTGTGTGTCCGCTCAAGAATCTCGAAGTACTTTACTAATCTGTAGATGGGTGGTGTTATATGAGTGATGATGATGATGATGGATGGTGTTATATGTAATGATGATGGATGATATTATATGTAGTTATGATGGATGGTTATATGTAGTGATGATGATGATGGAAGTGATGATGGATAGTGTTTGATGATGATGATTATATTAATGATGGATTTATATGTAATGATGATGGATGATGTTAATGTAGTTATTAGTGATGTAGTTATATGTATAGTGATGATGATGGTGTGTTATATGTTTATGGGTGAAGAGAAGTCAACACCCATGGCACATTTCTCACCCATAAAATTTTTAGTTCTCTTGGTGTTTTTCAAGATTATTTCTTTTAAATCAACACTCAGATATATATATATATATATATACAGTGACCCCTCGGTTAACGAACTCAATCCATTCCAGAAGGTCGTTCATTAACTGAAAAGTTCGTTAACCGAAACCATTGTTTCAATGGGTTTTTGGGTAATTGGTTCCAGCTCATCGAAAATTTCCTAAATTCAACAAAAATGGTAGAAAAGTTCACTTACTTTGAGGTGTGTATGTAGAAGGCTCCTGGATGATGATGATGATGATGATGTGCATTTGAAGTGGGAGGTGGAGGAGAAGGAAGAAGAGAAGGCATTGGGGTGGAAGAGAAGTCACCCCATGGCACCATTTCACCCATAAAATTTTAGTTCTCTTGGTGTTTTTCAAGATTATTTTCTTTAAATCAACACTGCACTGCATTATATATTGTCAATATGTAAAATATATTTCAAAATGACCAATAATTTGCTTGGAAACACAGAAAAAAAGCGTTTAGTTGAAGAAAGTCTCAAGCAAGATGTTACCTCCAGTGAAAACAGAGAGAGACTAACGCCTGTTTGCTGTGTTAAGAGGCTGGATGCCGCACATTAAACTAGTCACTTTACCTTCAATTATGTTCAATAATTGTTAAAATGACTAAAAAATTGAATATTAAACTTTTAAAATTATTGAATAGTATAAACTTCTTGATATTTACTCAAATAGTAAGGAATTTAAGCCCTAGAACTGATTAATGTATTGGCGGACTGATACTAAAGCTGGTTGCCCGGTCAGTGCAAGCGAAAACATGTTGAGGTCGGTTCGTAAGAAATTCGTTAACCGAATTTTTGTTCGTTAACCGAATTGAAGATCCTTATGGAAGGCAGTTCGTTAACCGAAATTTCGTTAACCGAGTCGTTCGTTAAACGAGGGGTCACTGTATATGGTTGCGTCATACTTGAAAACTTGGGTACCCTCCTGTTTTGTTGATCATTGTTTTAAAAGGGCTAAAAAATCCTTTCATTCTACTCAAACCAGGCAAATTCCTACACTTAAAATATTTTGTCTCTGCCCTATCGCAATGAATTTGTCCCGTTAGTTCGGTCCCTCAAACTACTAAATATTAATGTTGTTTTTAAGTATGACTCAACCATTACCAATATGTTAATAAAAAATAGCCCAAGTTTGAATGTAAATGGAAGTGTTTACTGTATTCTATGTAGCAAATGTACTGTAATGGTATTTATGTAGGACAGACAGGAAAAACATTGCAGCTCAGAATCAAACAACATAATTACAATATCAGAACAGCATCTGAAAGCAGTGCCCTGTTCGTTCATGTTAGGAATAATAATCATCCCATTGCTTGGGAAAAAACCTAAGAAGTATTCAAATCATCTTGTGTCACAGAAAGACTTCTGGTTGAAGCTAGTTTGATTAAGGAATTAAAATCAATAAACCTTAGTGATGGTCAGTTCAAAACTGATATGTTACATAAATTTATTTGTCAGTGGCCCAAGGTTAAAAATGCTTTGAAAACCTTTGATCTAGATGTAGGATAGTTATTTAGTGGGACCCTTATTTTTGACCTGACCTGACTAGTCACGTCGCCCCTTCTCTTAAGCTCCTCTACGTGTGTGTTGGTGTGGGGATTAGTGGATGACATCATTATGACCTGACCTCATATTTAATAAGGTCACCCTGTATATTTAAGCCTCTCTCTGTCCATGTAATCCAGTTGCCTCTGAAGATGTCTTGAATAATAGCAAGAGAGAGGGGAATGTTGGGAGGGGTAAACCAATTGTCACCTGGGAGAAAAAATTTAGAGAGTTTGTTGAAGAGAGAGCGGGAAGGGAAGGAAGAATGTTTGAGAGAGTAAGTGAGGTGTGCAAGAATAAAATGGCCTGGAAACATTTCTGCCATGGCCATCCCCTGTTGGGGGAGTTCCCGGGAGGGAAAAAGGCATCGGCGATATTGATCGATTGATCAAAACAGAGGTGCCGGAGCGGCGTTTGTGTGAGCTCCGGTAGCACTGCACCCCTGATAATTACAGTATTTTGTAATGATCACTCATCTACAATTGTTTGTAGATAATTTATTTAAAATGCTAATGCAACAAATCCCACCTTTTTATCTGACATAGCAAGCTTGCTATGACTCGTTATGTACAATTATCTCTCGTGTGGTGCAGTCTAGTGCTTTGAAGTGAGTAACAGACCAGACCCCGGAGTGTCTCGCGGAAGAGCATCTACCCAAACCCAAGAGTGTTTATAGGTATCATGAGTAGACATAATATAAAATTTCTATGACACTTCCAAATTCTGTGATTTGCTCACCTGTGTGATAATTGTCCGATATTCAAGCGGCATGTTCATCCTCATAAGCATGACCATAGAGATGAAGTACATTCCCTGGAAATAATAAACACTAATACAGTACAATGATTGAAGGCCATGGAAATCTTTCTTATCATAATAACAAAGATATGAAAAAATAAAAATAAAAATAGACTAGAGAGGGAAGTCTCATTTTACAGTATACAAGGTAACTACATGCAGTATTTTACATAAACAAATACTATACAGTGTTGTGTTGTACTGTACAGTGCCAGTGTAAATCAGCCATTCATAAATGACAAACTGTACAGGCATCCCCTGCATTACAAAATATTTTTTCCTTATACAGTATCCATCCAACAGAATAAATGGTAACAAAAGCAAATTAACACTCTTGGGGTTTTATAAGCAAAATTGCGTATGAAGTAAAAATGAAAACAAAATATAATAAAGTCCGGGCAATCTGGCAACTATGTAGACTGCACTCCACGGTTACCACACCAGTGTTTAAAGGACCTAGGATATAACCCTGACCCACATTTCCCATGCATTTTCTTGCGGCTCTAAAATAAAACCATAATTTCAGGTTATGGAAAAAAATTGCCCACACGAAATTTGGGTGAATTTTAAAATAAATGAATATATTAATTAATTAAAAAACAGCTATTTTTAACCCAAATTTTTACAAATTGTAAAAATTATTTAATGTGTATTCTCTGTGGTAGCCACAAGGCAGTTGGAAGGCCACTCACCTCCCCAGTTGCCAGCTAAGTTCAGTTATGCCTCTGTGTTCAGGACTCTATTCGCCCTTATGGATTTTTGATTAATTTATTCAGATTAAAAAAAAATAAATCGCAATACAGTTGTACCCCACTTAACGCGGTCAATTGAACCCAGAGGGTCCCGCGTTAAGTGAAATCCGCGTTAAGTGAACAACAGAACATATGGGATTAATTCCAATAGAAACCGGCCCGACCCCCAAACTCCACTTTTTGAAGGCACATACCTATGTTGTAGTAAAAATAACATCTTAATTTTATGATGGTACATGCACACAATTAATACTTAAGAGAAATAGAGAAATACAGTCGCCAAGTTAATGTCCATTCAAATAATGGACTCAACTCCCTCCCCCTCTCACACTACACAGCCGGCTAACAGATGGTCGGTCGGTCCCTCCCTCCCCCCCCCACCCCCCACCAACCGTCCCAAGGAGATGTGTGGGATAACCTCAAACTAAAGTTAGGAAAATATAATTGACATTGCTGGATTCCTTGTAAGACCAGGAATATTTTGAATATAAATGTCATATATTTTGGACAAAAGATAACAGTTACCTAGAGAAAAATTTTTATCTAAAAATTGTAAGTTTAAAGCAAAATATATGATGTTTATATTCAAAATGATCACCAAATTATAAGAATTCCAGCAATGTAAATTATATTCTGACCGGGTAATTTGTATGAATTTTATGAGCTAAAACAAATATCTTCAGTTAATAAAAAAAAAATAATCTTCACGACACTATCTGTCAATCAAAGTACCCCACCTTGCCTCCCCCCCTCTTCCAACCGCGCGGTCAGTCCCAACCCTCCCCCCCACCCCCCACCAATCCTCCCTTCCAGAGTTTTTAACATTTAGTATTAAATAATACCTCAGATTAAAGTTAGGATAATATAATTGACATTGCTGGATTCCTTGTAAGACCAGGAATATTTTGAATATAAATGTCATATATTTTGCACAAAAGATACCATAGTTACCTAGAGAAAAATTTTTATCTAAAAATTGTAAGTTTAAAGCAAAATATATGATGTTTATATTCAAAATGATCACCAAATTATAAGAATTCCAGCAATGTAAATTATATTCTGACCGGGTAATTTGTATGAATTTTATGAGCTAAAACAAATATCTTCAGTTAATAAAAAAAAATAATAATTCTTCACAGGGTAACAGATGGTCGGTCGGTCCCTCCCTCCCCCCCACCCCCCACCAACCGTCCCAAGGAGATGTGTGGGATAACCACTAAATTTTAATAAATAATACCTCAAACTAAAGTTAGGATAATATAATTGACATTGCTGGATTCCTTGTAAGACCAGGAATATTTTGAATATAAATGTCATATATTTTGCACAAAAGATACCATAGTTACCTAGAGAAAATTTTTTATCTAAAAATTGTAAGTTTAAAGCAAAATATATGATGTTTATATTCAAAATGATCACCAAATTATAAGAATTCCAGCAATGTAAATTATATTCTGGCCTGGTAATTTGTATGAATTTTATGAGCTAAAACAGGCAGTCAGGCAGGGTGGCGGGTGGGGCAAATCTAAAAATAGCGTCTCGGACACTCACCGCGTATATGTGGAAAAAATCCGCGTTAAGTGAAAGTTCAGCTTTGGCAAGGCACCGCGTATATGCGAAAACGCGTTAAGTGAAACCGCGTTAGGCGGGGTAAAACTGTATAGAACAAAAAATTTCACCAAAATTATAAAATTTATTTTGTGTGGATTCTGAGGCTCACCCCCACCAGCTGATAATACAGTAAAACCTCGATTAACTGACCACATATGGGGGGAAGGGGCTGACGGATAATCGAAAAGGTCGGTTAATAGTACATAAAGTTTACGGAAATAAAACACATTTTCAAAGTACCTTTCCCTAGCCTACCTCATTTAAGTCCCTCTATTCATTTTTGTTCATTTGCCATTCATATTTCAATAGAATTTGCTTTAAAACATTAACCACTTTAATAAATAAATATGAATCAGCACAGAAACCGTGAATAAAAAATGGAAAAGTCAAAGAACATATGTCATCACTGTTACAGCAAGCAGTAATGAGTAGGATGACACATTAACAAACATTATGTTAGGCTGTAAGTCATGTCATGTTTATTGAGTGTGCCTGCCAGTATACAGTATATAGAGTATTGACATGGTGGAGATGAGAGGCCCAGAGGAGGTTGGAGTGTGTAAGGGGAGTTTTGTTTATGTATAATTATAATCACCTGACTCAGCCGCCCATCAAGAGAGGGTTGGGGAGGCGACAGCAGGGTATTGGCACTGTAGCTATTCAGACCACAGAGGTAACACCTAACCTGGTTCCTCTGTAGTTATTCAGATCACAGAGGCAGCACCTAATCTGGTTTCTCTTGAGACTTTCAACACGTAAGTTTAACTGGTACTTATTGTGTACACAGGTAGACTGTGTCCATTGCATCGTTTATCATTGTGACGACTTAAAAATATGGAAATTAAGTACTCATTGTAAGTGTTAAGATTAGACTGATTACATAGCTATGATTGTTATGTAAATAATATTGGATTAGACATTTATGTGATTGCCTATGTATGAATTATTTGAAATACTAAAATGAATTGTATTCAACAGGCTTGACCGAATTATAATGTTCGAGTTCAACGTCACAAGTTTCATTAAATCCTTTAACCGCCCGGATGGCGGTTACAATCACAAAAATTGTGACCAAGTCCCAGGTTGCTGATCTGACTTTCTGCCTCATTTACACACAATTGCAGGGTCTCAATTGTTTCTCTTACTAATGACAATACAACATACATACAGGTACTTTGTTTCTCACTCTTGATTTTTTTTTCATTTCTGCATTTCTTTATGGTTCTTTATTACTATTATTATTATTAGCATTAGCATTATTAATATTATTACATTATCGCCCCCCAGGCCCCGATGTGGGTCAGGGGTTAGGGATTGACGGTTAATCCGAAAGTCGGTTAATCGAGGGTCGGTTAATCGAGGTTTTACTGTAATCAAAACAACAATGGCACTACTCAGTTTGAATTCCTTCCCTAGTTTGTGTTATGTGTCTGTGTTACTGTGTACCCTTATTCATGACGAATGGAAAAAGACCATCAAGTTCAAGTGAAAGCAGTGGTGATAAAAGATTCCATAAAGGAATTGCATTGGACATTAAACTTGATGTTTTAAGGAGGTAACTCCCAGTAACCCTGATCCCACAACCTCACTCCTGGTCAGTAAAATTTTAGTGTTTTGTTCATTTATTATCATGTTACATCATGATTGATACATTGTATGTGGTTAAAACCATCTAATTTTAAACAAATATGTGCTTGTGTCACATTTTTTGGGTCACAAAATTTGGCATTTTATTTATTTATTTTTATTTTATTTTATTTTTTACAGGGATTAGCCCACCCAGGCACAGTTCACTGACCCACATTGGGGCCTGGGGGATATATATACAGAAATGGAAAAAATAATCAACAGTGAGAAACGATATATATATACAGTGAACCCTCACTTTACACGGTCAATTAAACCCACGGAGGCCCGTGTAAACCGAGAAACGCGAAAAGTGAACAACATAACATATGGGATTAAATGAAATAGAGACCGACTGACCCCCAAACTCCACTTTTTCCAACACAATACCTATGTTCTAGTAAAAAGAACATTTTAATTTTATGATGGTACATGCACACAATTAACACTTAAGAGAAGTAGAGAAATACAGTCACCAAGTTAATGTCCATTCAAATAATGGACTCGACCCCCTCCCCCTCTTCTCACACTCCTGGCTCTTCCCTCTCTGAGAAATGTTTGGGGGAAAAACCACTAGATTTTAAGGTATAGTAATAAATAATACCTCAAACTAAAGTTAGGATAATATAATTGACATTGCTGGATTCCTTGCAAGACCAGGAATATTTTGAATATAAATGTCATATATTTTGCACAAAAGATAACATATTTACTCAGAGTAAACAAAATACTTAGAGTAGATCTAAAATTTGTATGTCTAATGCAAAATCTATGAGGTTTATATTCAAAATGATCATCAAATTGTAAGAATTCCAGCAAAGTAAATTATATTCTGGCCGGGTAATTTGCATGAATTTTATGAGCTAAAACAAATATCTTCAGTTAATAAAAAAAAACCATATTCTTCACAACCGCGCCAGATGGTCGGTCGGTCCCTCCCTCCCCCCATCCCCCACCAACCCTCCCTACCAGAGAAATGTGTGGGAGAAACCAGAATATTTACCTTTTTAGTAATAAATAATACCT